GGGGTTACCTGAGTGGTGTGTCTTGTAAGAGCATCGACTAGATTGTAGGTTCTTCTCTTTTTTGGTGCCCACTGTCCAGAGCCGAAACTGTATAATTGTAATTGGAAAGATAAGAACCAGTCCAGCCATCTGAAAACAAGAAGAAAAAACAAAGAGCAGGACATTGTGACTCACCCAACAACCCAAAAATCATAACCATCAAGATGCCAAGATTGCATGGTGTTTTCGTTGTTCTGAAAGACAACTTCAATAAAATCATGGAGAGAAGTTGGCATAACGGAGGTAGCGACAGTTGCAGCACCACCAGAAGGAAGGTCTTGGATGGAACTCATGCTAAAAACTCCAGGGATGTTGAAATAATCAGCAAGTTTCAGAGGGGTATCAGGATTAACAAAGGAGACACCATTCACTGTGTAACGCAGCTTTCCATTTATTAAAGATCCCGAGTTGGCCAAGACAATGGTCTTAGTTGTTGTTATCTTCCCATAATGGAATGAACCCTGAGGATTAGGCCTGGCTGCATTTGATGTCAAATTCCACCTGCAACAAAATGAAGGAAAAAGAGTCAAATAAGATCATTTTTACTCTAAATTGGATTCAAGTAGTGCATCAAACCACAAGAGTCATATGATATTCCATCGACTAGTACCTATATGTTCTTGCCTGCTGCATTGACCAATGAAATTGGTATGCAGGAGCAGCTGGCAAGGGTCCAGAAACCGGGGTCTGTGAGTTTGTGTAGTGCAAAACTGCAGTTGCAGTCAGAACAGTCTTAGTAAATCTTGTGGATGCAACAATGTAGTAGTCCTTTGGTGGCTGATTCAAGGTTACCAAGACAGTTACAGATTGGCCCACATGTACATCAAGAGAGTCATATAAGTTCTGTATCACGTGAGATCCTTCAACCTCAACTAGCTTCATTGTATGGCCCTGAATCCTGAAGTTCAGTGAGGTGGATAATCCAACATTTGAGATCCTAAACATGTAAGTTTTGCCTGAAACCACCACAAATAAAACTTGTTTGGTAAAGGCATGAAACTTTATTGGAAAAAAAAATTATGAGAAAATTTCACAACAGAATTGTCTTGAATAAATGAATAAAAATGCTATGAATTAAGCGATGAAACTTGATTGGTAAAAAGATGATAGGTGTCAAAGTTAAGGATGACCTTGATCTCCACTAAAGGTTGTTTGAGTCTGGCCATTTATAAGGACTCCATCAGGAAAGGGCAGAGATTTTCCTGAGTCTAAAGTTTGCTGCAATGTCTGCAAAAGAGGAAACAATATATAATGAGTGAAGAACACAAGGCAAGAAGCCCTTCTATGAAAATGCAGCTTTAAAACTTTATTTTTTTTTAGCATTATTGTACACATAAATACTCGTTGGTTTTTACAAATGGCACAGCATGACAAGTTCGAGCAGCAGGAACTAAGTTGAGACAGCCACTCAACCCTCTAGTTAGTTTCCGAGTTTTTGTCTAATCTCCAACATAATCTCAACTATAAAATGTTGCACAAAAGTTTTTCATAGCAATGCGGGTAAAGGGGAATAATAACAAGAATCAAGCTCTAAATGGCTAATGTAATGCTTTTTGAAGGGACTAGATAGAGATTCCAAATAAGAATTGGCTCAAAACATAAAAGCTAAATCATGTGGAGCTGGTCACATTGACAAATCCCAAATGAAATTCTTATATCGTGAAAGATTACCTTGGCATTGCAAGTACGATAATTGAGCAGTTAATAACTTGCAAGCCTTTTATAAAAGTTATCCAGCTTATTGTTTCTAATTTAAGAACGATGTCAAGAGAAGGGAAAACAGGGGAAGAAGAAAATGGTTTGCAAGCAAAAGGAAAATCTTAACCTTCTGGAGGCAAACAAAAGCTGTGCAAACTAACCTTATGGCTGGTCTTGTACCAGTCACCAACAAGTAGAGTGAAATCTCCATCAGGGTTTGCATAAGGGATTGGAATCACACTTCTATGGTTTATATTGAGTGCCCCAAATCCTCCAGCAGCTCTATGCATTAGAGTTGATGGGAAATATGTGTAAGACCCAATCTGATCCTTGGCCTGGAACTTGTATGTATAGTTTGAGTTTGGAGGGATTGGGCAATTGGTTCCCAAAACACCATCCTGCCATGAGTTCTTCCTTTGCTTGACGCCATTCCTGTTGTGATTAAAACAAGTCCTCATTATCACAATGTCATGATTCTAAAGAGCAGATTCAAGTGAACACAGGAAAATAATGGCAAATTTAGTGTTTAAAATTTCAAAAAGAATCAGTCTATTTTAATACCCAAAAAAGATAGCTGCAAAAAAGGCAAGATTATAAAACTTTAGAAGGTTAAACTTCTTAATAATTGAAATACAAGAAAAAAGAAGACCTCCATTGAATGGAACTATGCACCAGTCGCCCTAATTTAGGCATATTTTCCTCTACTATTTTTCATTGATATGTTCAACAAAATTGAAATGAAGTGAATTTACAAGAAGAAGACAAGTCTGGGTTTTTCCATTATTTCCAAGATCCATTGATAGTTAATTAGTTGAGGGTGTGAAAAACAGCAAGGGGAATCAAGATTTCAATGCAAAGAGAGAGAGAGAGCGAGAAACCAACCATGTCAACAAGAAAGGCTGGTCAAGCTTGTTAATGAGATTCAAGATGATGTTGTTATTAGTCACCACTTCAAGTTTTGGTCCAGGAAACTGATCATTGATAAGGATAACCTTCCAAAAACAAAAATGAAAACTTTTTAGAACCTCATAACATCCGCATCAAGCACATTACTCCAACACTCAAAAACCAGCTTAATTACCAACCTGCTGGGGAACTCCAAGAAGAGAACGAGTGCCATAAGTGACAGTCCATGTGTAATACAAGTAAGGGTCTTCAGCATTCACCAGGGACACACTCAAAACAGCCAAAACTCCAAAAACCAAATGGAGCATGATTGCTTTTCCCATATTCTTTTTCCTTCCCTTAATGCCACTGAACATAAACAAACCAAGAATCGTTTAGTTAGTAAACAACAAAACCCGGCAGAATTTATGTATCAGAATACATCACCATCTTGCCTGAAAGAGAAGCTTATCTCCCTGGAAAGTGAACTATTTTGAGTTCACAATCTGAACAAGTACAGACTTCTTATAAGAACCCAAGGCGGGAAAAAGCTACACCAGATATTGGTTGGCTGTCCCTGCTATTGGGTTTTGTTTTTTAAAATGTGAAATTATCGTAGCTTTAACACTTCCTTTTCTCAAACTATAAAAGGGAAAAAGAAATTTATTGTTTGATTCCTAAGGTTGTAAGGTTTGAGTTTTGCTAATTTTCGGCGCATTTCACGCGTTTCCGCGTTATGATAATTGCTTCCAGCTTACGTTTATTTCACTCTTTTTTTTTTGTAAAAAATAAAAATTTAAAACATTGCCTCCCTGTAATCTCGCCATTGATTATAGCTTTTTCTTTTCCTTTTTTCTTTTGACCCTGAAGATAAATGAGCTGTCTTGTTGGACCAGTTTACCACTATTACTTGGCCCTTTCTCCTTTCCCCCCATTTCTTGGACATTAAGGGTATTCCCAGAATTTTTCTTTCATTGACAGAGTAATAGTAGAACAATTCTGACTTAATTCAATGGAAAATATTTAATACCATTAGAATCTTCCAACCCCTTTGCATTTACTAAATTTTAGTAGTACAGAAGATAATGGCAATTGGATTTGGTTAGCTTTCGAGGTGTTTTATTTTTATGACTGTCACAGGCAGAAATGAATTTAATACTACCCTCACATGCATACCGAAACCCAAGTGGTTCAATCAGAAATTTGTATCTTTAGACCGGACAGTCCATAAATCCTTTTGGTTTTTTTTTTCCCATTTTAATTGTGAATGGCAGCCATTAAAATCCAATTTCTGAAGTCACCATCCCATTGATCTGCCTGGGGTAAACAATGGGATAAAAAGAGTATGAAATTATTAGGAATGTGTTGTTATGTGGGAGTTGGGTGTAATACAGTTAAGCAAGTTGAAAGTCTGCACTTGTTTTTTAGAGTTGTTGGGGGCGTTTTTTCTGGATGTGAGCTGGCTTCTTAAAGCTTGAGCAAGGTTCAGCAGGTTTTTCAGCTCAACCTGCCATATAATTTTTCTACTTGGGCACATGTGCTCCACAGCAACCATATCTCCCTGGTCATTGCCTCCATTCCTCTCCCACAACTCAAATTATAATTCAAGAAACTGATAAGGTCGAGTCAACCAATTTTATATGTTAGTCAAAGGTTTTGTTTCTTCAATGTGAAATATATAACATATGCATTATATTTATTCAACATATATTATTATTTATTAAGTGAATTACGCAATCTCTCTTTTTTATTTCATCATTAGTAGTATATCTTAAAAACCCAAATTTCGAATTTCAAAAATCCAATTCATAAGTTTTTTAAGATTGATACTCCCTTTCTCTATTTTTTCTTATCCTTTTTTTTTTGTGATATCTTAAAATAATTTTGTTATTTTTTCTATATTGTAAATTTATTTTTCGTATTAAAAAATATTAAACATCAATATTATAAAACGTTCAATTTTAATATAAAATACATTAAAATTAAAAGTTTCTTTTAATCTCTATAAACATAAAAAAAATAAATTTTTAATGACGGAAAAAGAATTTTATTTGTATGCCTCATTGGAAGTTAATAATGTAAACAAATATTGTACTGGAAGTAGGGCTAGTGTAGGTTAAATAATTAAACCCCAAGTCTCTAGAATATCTTGTAGAAGTAAATAGTTGGGGTTTTTCTTTTGTGGTCAAAAAAATTATTCGAATAAATTTATATGGAAACATAATTAAATAAAAACATTTAAGACATTTATTAATAAATATATGCATAAATTATTCTATATAAGTCGAAAGAAAGAGAGAGAGAGAGAGAGGAGGAGGGCCTAGTAAATATATGAATAATGAGTTTGTCACGTGAAATGTTGGCTAACGGATTGGAGCATGACTCGAGGCGAAGAGGTGGGAGGCACGCGGGTTTCCCACTGACGCACCGCTCAGTCACCATAATGAAAAGTGGTGCAGCCGGATAGGCGTGGGGGAAGACTTGAATGTGAACAAAGCTAGCTTTGCCCCAAATTTCGTGGTGATTCCTTGGATTCGACAGTGCCCCGCTTTTGTCTATGACCTGTGCCGATACATTCGCTTTTTAAGGTTTTGGTTTGATTATGTTGTCTTGTGTTTGGTTTTTTTATTCATACGAAAGGTATTATACCATTGACTATACAATGGTTGCGTGATAATCCTTTCTCAATTATGATTTCGCACTCTTTATTTTATTTTAATTTGAAAACTTTTAGATTGAGTAAATACTAAATTCAACCATTCAAAAACTTAAGAGTGGGTATTTAGGTAATTTGATTAGTTCAATCTTAAAATTTTGAAAATCAAATTAATTAAATTTTATAATAAAAATAATTGAAACTGATTTATATTTGATGGGTGTGATCCATTTTTTAATATTTTATATTATACATAAAATATTAATAATATATATTTAAAATATTGTATATTACTAATAGTCTTTTTTGTCAATTTGATTGTAAATTTTAAACATCAAAATTTAATCAAAATAATAAATCAAATCAAATAACTAATTAAATTCAAAACTTATTAAATCGAGTCATTGTATTGATTAAAATCGATTAAAATCAAAGGCTCAATTTTTTTGCATAAACAACAATATTGTCCATTGATGATTGCTAGCATTGTATATTCCCAAAAAATTAAGCCAATAAACGAAAAAAAAAGGATGACATTGTCCACTTCCAACTCAAAACCAAGATTCCTCTGGTTATTATGGCCTTTCAAATACTACTAGGCAGCATTAACATTAGTAGGGAGCATCATAGTCCTAGCAATTACACGTCTCTCATTCTTTTCTTTTGTATTGTACTCCATATATAACTTGAGAAAATAATAAACAAGAATTAAGCTCCAAAATAAACAAAAGAAAAGATGGGAGTTGAATGTTAATGTGTTCATCATAGTGTTTGGTCGTGAATGAATTAAAGAGGACAAACAGTTGGGTAGCAATTGACAGTAATAGTAATGATGGAAAGCATGAAGGATATCCCCCACTTACACTGGTCCATGCAATTACTTCCCCCACCTCGATTCATCATTGAAATTGAAAATTGATGAAAGATAAATACAAAGATTATCTTTGAAAATTCTTTATTTGTAAACAATATCTGTTATCAGTGTATTTTTTCTTTGTTCTTATCCCTGTAACTACATAGTTATCATAATCTTTTTTTAAAAAAAAAAATATTTGCTCTCCTAACTAGTTTCCCTCTAATGTTGCTCTGTACTGAAAAGAAAAGCCCAAAATAAGAGTATTCTTTCAATGGATCAGTCATGGTTTTGGAGATGGCTGCTCTCAACTAGAGGCAGGTGTGAGCAGTGAGCCGAAGCCAGCTTGTCTCCAAAATGCTGAGTAACTTGGGCCTATGAGTACGCAATTTACATTACAGGCCTCAGGCCTTGCAGCCTTTCCTCATTGATTAGGAGATCAGATTTCCTTTGCAGGAAAACTACAAGAAGGATTTCAATGGAAAACTGTGACCTGTTGTATGTCACCAGAAGGAAGAATCTTTTCCCTTCTTTCTTCTTCTTCTTTCGTGAAAACAAAAATTATGTGGATTAGTGTTCAAAGTGTGCTTTGCCTTGTGGTGTTAGAGAGCCTCCAAACTTGTCCGATTTGGAAATCTCGGAGGAAACTGCCTTGGAGATTGAAAACACTTGTCGAACATTCATCGAAGAAGTGATAGGATGGATGTTTCATGTGACTGTTGAGGGAGACTGGTTGGTATTAGCGAGAACAGTCGCTGGGCTGTTGTTACTTTCCTATGTTGGATGCTTCTTTGATTTGCTAACACCTCTTTACATAGGTAATAATTAAACTAATTGAAAATCTCAATAACCATGCCACTCTCCCTTTCTCTTTTTCTAATGAAACATTCTTCTTTTTGTTGTTCGGGTTCTTGCAGGCATTAAGACGGCCATGACAGTTCCTCTAATATATGTGAAGTATGGGGACCAAATAAAGAGGTGTGGGGAGAGGTTGAAGGATCAATTCAGAAGATTGTACGAGAGGTTTGATGAGAAGGTGATAAGGAAGATGAAGAATAAAATTGTCAAAGAAGAGAATAAAGAGAAGAAAGTTGAGTAGTGGCTCTGTGATTTTCTAGGGATGCTATCTGTAATTTTTCTTCTTAATGTTATTACCCTTCATGCGCCCGTTCTTGATCAGCTCCCAATTATTAAACTGGATTTCCCCCTGGTTTGTGAATGAATTACAAAACTTAAATTCTTAAAAAAAATTATTAAACTGAATAAGTCCGAAAAGAATGTTATGGAATATTTGCTTTTGTGCTAGTATTAACTATTAGAGGGTACAAATTAAATTAGGAAATGAAGCAAGAGAAATAAGTACTAGGGTAATTTGTAATTAGAAGGATCATAATATTTTTCAGAATTCCATTATGGGCTAAACCGAAGCCTTGGCCCAAACAAGTGATTTTGCTCGACCATTTGAGCTAGCAACCATTTTGTTGAAACTACTTTAGCCTTAACCCTGGCGTATTGAACATTGCAGGGGCCATAATTTGCCTTCGATTTAAAACCAGATGATGGCTAAAACATGTGACCTTTTCCTGTTTACGTACCTTATTTCCCTTTCCCTGTCATCTTTCACTCGTTTGGTTTGCTCGTTTTTTGTGTTTAAGACTCGAGACCTTTGCGTTTTCCTACGTTGACGACAGACCCTGGCAGAGATTTAATTTGCCTTTGATCATAATTAACGTCGTCTACTTCGATATATAAATGTATTATCTTACTTTAATTTCAGAAATATACGTACCAAACAGCTTAGATAGTTTGTAAGAACTTATCTGTTGCGGTGTTCTTTTATTGCCCTTACAGAATAGGGGCTTCCAAGGGCTAAACCCAACAAAGGCTTGGGCTAAATCTAATAAAAGAATTTAGGCTAATTTCACAATTCTATTATTGCATTCGAAGACGTTTGCAAAAAAATTTAAAACTATTTGATAAATGAAACCTGGTGAAAAAGCTAAACATTAAACAAAATTATTTACAAGGTATAAAGGTGAATTCGGATCCTGAAAGGTACTACCCTATAATTTTAGGGTAAAAGCAATATTCGCAGCGATTTCAACTCAGGGTCCAATGGCTAAAGCGTGTTCAATTCTCGTTCTACCATTTCTTTCAACTGCCCCTTTTCTCCAGTATTTTTCTTTTCCTTGTCTAGTTATTTATAATACTGCAATTTGATAAATAATGGAGTAGGTAATAGGGTAGCTATGTATTGAATTAAAAGACCAATCGTTTTTCTAATTATAAACAACTCACCCATCAATTTTTCCAGCAAAAATTACAAAATTATTGATTATTTTATCTCAAGATGTTGTTAGTGGGAATTGACTTGTATTTTTAGACAGACCCTTTTCATTTGCTTAATTTGATTGTTATATATGTGAAAACTTGAGAAACATTTAATTATTGTATGCAACTTGATCAATTTTTTTTATCGATTAAATTTACACGAACAAATTAATTTAATCATACATGTAATAAACTGCCAAAGATCAAAGAAATTACTTCATATATACAATATGACCATTACTTACATCCACTGCCGTTAACAGTACATGACTTTGATATATAAATGTAGTAGTTTTGGATAGCTTATAGGTGTTGCATGCCAATTGGCAAAGGTTGGTTACCTATACGTACAAGTTTTAATCTAAGGCAAAGGAATTGTTAAGTTTGGATGAAACGTAAATCTACATATATTTTATAATATAGATTTGTACCATAATGAAGCCATGACTTCGAATTCGAGGAGTACACCTATGTTTTGCAAGTAACAATATAAAGTTACGAAAATATACATAAAGAAGCTCGAACCGGGAAAAGTTTTCATTAGTTTTGGAACTTTCAATGTAAGAAGAATACTACATCATGGATGACATGCGCACAATCATAGGTCAATGGTATTACAATCAATATATATCTTTGTCCTTTTGTGTCATGTTTAATTACTAATCTTTGTGTTCATTAATTTTCCCCCTTTTAGAAATACCGTGGTGGTTTCTCCCATTTTCATATGATTTCGAGCTGACTTACACTTAATGAACCAAGATAAGTTTGCTTCTACACTATAGAAATCAAGTTCTAGTTGTAATTAAATATAGACGGGAAGGTTTCCAAGTAGATACAGTACTGAAGTAATCAGACGAGGTAAAATAAACATACAATCAGTTCCAGGGGACGGACAGGGGAGATTCCAAGAAGCAAAACTTGTTGGAGTTCAACGTAACTATAAATATATATACACCTTATGTTCTTGTTACAAGTTATGTGTAAAAGGAAAACAAGTTCCTTCGTACGAGAATGAACGCTGCTGCATTACGCGATGCTGGTATAGGGGTTACTCTAGCAACCGCAGTTAACGCGTTATTGAGAGCCATAGCAGGAGTAATAACGACAACCAAAAGATTTAAACCCCTTCTCAATCACCTCAACGATACAGTTAACTGGATCACGCCCAGGATCAATGAGCTAAGTCGGTCGACAGATTCACAGGAAATCGGAAGGTTGTTGGATCTATTGAATGAAGCCAAGGAAGCTGTTGATAAATGCGCTGGGGTACGCTCGTGGAACTATTACAAGAAGTACAAGTTCGCCAAGGAGCTCATTGAACTGGATAATTCTATTCGTACAACGTTGCAAGTCTTCTTCCCGGTTATGATTTTGGGGGATACTAGACTAATTTTGGATGCTGTTGATGAACTGAAGCTAATGTTCTCATTTTTCTTTTATATTATACTTGAAGATTTTCAATCAAGTGCAAGAAATACTAGTGGTATTATTTTTGATCTGATTCGATCTAATGTCTCATTTGAAAACCTTGGATTAGAGAAAATTGCCCAGTCTCAGCCTGCAGGTCGAGATTTACCAATATGATTATACATATGCCCTATCTCCTCGTTTTCACTCACAATTCTGTTTTGTTGCAGAGATTGTAAACGATATAGCTCTATGGAAGAGAAAGAAGCTGAGCGGAACGCTTCTCTTCTCCTCAACTGCAACATGGCTCTTGCAGCAAGTTTATCAATACAACTTCATCACTATTGCTTCATGGGCGGCCATTTTCATTGTTACTTCATTGTTCATCTGGAGAAACGTAAATCGGTTTCTTGACCGGTGAGTGAACATCGTAGTTAATTTCAAATCCGAAATCGAATTCCATTGCTTTTATCTTCCTCTAAATTTTAAATCGGATCAGGGATCGATGGAAACTACTCTTTTTAATCTCAGAGAAGAAGCAACCAAGTCCAGATTGGAGAATATCAGAGAGAAGGTTGCCATGGAGGTTGCAAACGCTTATCGGGAACTGACTGATCAAATAATAGGATGGATATTTCATGCCACTGATGTTGAGGGAGAACGGTTTGTATTTCCACAAACGGTTACCCTTCTCCTAATTTTCTCCTACGTTGGAAGCTTCTTTGATCTGCCAACACTTTGTAAAGGTAATAGTGCATATAACATCGAAACTTTTCAGAACCTACATACGTGCTTTTAGCCACCAACCCAAAGCCTCGTTTTCTTTGTTAAACTAATTTTTCTTTTGTTACTGCAGGTGTTATGATGGGTACAACAGTTCCTCCCATGGTCGCGAAGCACGGGGATAAAATGAAGACTCTTGGGAATATGGTGAGGATGCAATCGGGAAGAGTCTACGAAATGGTCTTGGAGCTGCTAATCGATGCAGTGATTAACAAGAGGAAGAAATCAAAGAAACAAAACTGATATTGCTGTTTGTTTCAACACCGGCATATTTGCCTGATCAAAGATCATGAGTTCATCATCAACGCTTTCATACTTGGTACTGGAATTGGCCTATATACTTGCAAGTCGCAAATAAATTAGAAAATTCATGGCAACCATGAATGATTTATAGTCATCGTTATTTGCTGAAGTTGTAAAGCTATTACTTATTAATTAGCATTACATCGCTCCCCAGGTTTCGGTTTAAAATCTAAACTTCTGTTTGCAGAGAATCTTGATCTTGAGATCTCCGATAAAAGAACAAGACACATCCTTAACTTCAGAAGATTGAAGAATCGAAACTAATTTAGTTCAACAAAGACAACAGAAAAATGGATATGGTGAAAAGATTGATCAACTTCAACAATAAAAACTTCTATAATTTATAACGACCTTGATGACTAAATTATTATATTATTTTTAGACAGTTTGGGACCGTTGTAATGGATATGACTTATTCACAAGTTGTATAGACTGAATATGATAACAAGTTTTAGTCAAAATAAACAAGTTATTAATAACATTTAGATAGACTAAATATCTTCATATCACCTCTCAATAATATAAAATACTAAAAAAATGATCATCCATTTTTCATTAATTTAACATCACATCTTTTGGAGTGAAAATTTGTAATGAAAAAAGTCTTTAATTATTTTGACTGAATAAGTATGTAATAAAAGTTTCTTTTTAAATGATTCTTTTAAATTTAGCTATAATTGTGAAAAGAAATTAAAAAAATAAATGAACAATTAAAGGCAGCATTAAGAGCCTAGCTTTTTTCAAGCTTAAAAGCTCTTATAAGAAATAATAGCTTTTAGAATTAAGCTGAAGTTGTTTGGTAAATTTTTTTTATAAAATTTTTTAATAAATTATAATTTTTTAATAAATTATAATTTTTGTTAAAATTATCGTAAAGGGTATTTTTTTAGAGAGTTGTATTATAATTATTTTTAATAGATGAGGATATTTTTAAAACAAAAATAAATTTTTTTATATTTTTAAAAAAAGAGAAGAAAAACTCCTCGTAAGAGCTTTTCCTAAAATCTTTTTTTTTTAAATTTTATTTTTTTAAAAAATTTAATTTTTTAAGAACTTTTCAAAATTTATATTTGGCTTAATTTTTACTTTTAAGATATAAATAAGTTAAAAAAAACTAGACCAAACAAGTACTAATTTTTTTTTTTTTTTTGTAAACAACTTGAAAAAAAAGAAAGAAAGAGAGAGAAACTCTGTTTGCCACAGGCATCTTTATAACAATACAAATATATGTACATATTTACATAAAAGGCCGTCTCAGGGCTAGACCAAATAAAAGAAATTGGGCTTTTAATTAGTCAAAGTAGACCCAACTTAGTCTTGAGCTCTACCTACTAAAGAGTATGGGCTTTGTCCAGCTCAATCCAAAATTTGTCCCAGGTGTAGTTTATTTTGTCTATTCTCACTAGGCCCAAACATATAGTCTTGGGCTGCATCAAATAAAAGAGGTTTTTTTTTTAAAGGAAAAAAAATTTAGCAAGAGGAGAGCAACGATATTATGGCCACAATCACTGCGAGCAGTATCATAACTTGGATTATGGAACTTTTTTTTTCCAATTTTATACAGTATTTCGCTCTCCACCTAAGTTAAAATTCAAGTGGTTGTAACTTTTATAATAGCATTAGGAGATGCTTGCAGAAAAGAAAATTATTTAATAAATACAAGAATTATACAGTTTTTATCATTCCAAAGTTATTACAAATTAAAGATATCATATAATTTTTAGATTTAAATTTGATGTATTGTCAATATGTAAATTTTGCATACTATTAAAGAACCAAATGTTATCATTTTATTAAAAAATAAATTTTAAAATTAAGAATCTTAAAAGAATAAATATTCATAATTTTAAAAATATTTATTTTACGAGTTTTTAAGTTTTGTATATATATATATATATAATATGATATTCTGTAATTAAATAATAATATATAAATTTTTAATGGTAAAACAAATATAAACGTATTATTTTTTAAATCCTAGGATATTAACCATTAATTTCCTAAAGTTGTTAGTCAGGACTCCAGAAAAACTCTCAGGAAGCTTCCAGGGGAAGACCTCGTCAGGATGGCTAACTCGCTGCTTGCCTTGTCAAGGTAGTACTGGCATGTCAGAAATTTCAGAAGTTGAAGTAAAGCAGGAGAGAAAACTGAAAAATTGATGCCAGAAAGGAAAATCATAAATTTCTAGGCCCAAATTAAGTCGGTACTGAAGGGGGTTTTTTCTTTGTTTCAAATATGAATTAATAGAATTTGGATCCTAATAGTAATTGTAAGTTTAAAATTATATATATTTTTAAATATTTTAATTTCATATAATTTACGAAATAATGTTTTATAATTAAATGATAATATATAAATATTATATATTTACATACATTAAAAATAAATCTTATTATTTATTATAAATTATGAGATGGCAAAGCGAGTGGAGGCTCGAATCCTAAGATGTCAACCTTCCTACAATCACCGGTCATCATTACATAAAATCTCCAGGAAAGCTTCCAGGAGAAGACCTCGTCAGAACAGCAACGTAGCTAACTCGTTACTTGCCAGGTCAAGGTGCTTGTTCCCTTGTGAGGGCTGATCAACAAATGAAGGGTGTTTTATGTTCTAGTTTCTGACTCTTTGATTTGCTCGTCCTACTGCTTGACTTTTCATCAGATGGGAGATTTTGCTTCAGCCTCGTGCTCGTGCGATTGTTTTTCTTTGTACGTGTTTTTAGGAGGTCCTCTTATGTTTTGTACTAAAACAGGGCATCGTCGGGAGATCTGATACTCATAGGCTTCTTCGTTGTGTTCCCTTGTAGGATCCTTTGTTTTTGGTTGACATTGTTAGGATCCTTTATTGATTTTGCTTGCTGACTTTGTTTGGTGCACAGTATAACTTTTGTAAATGCACAGTTAAATACCCACATCAAGTGTTCTATGCCACGAAAGTTTTCTGCCAATTAGGTTAAGACTTGCCATGACATTATCACTGACGAAAGAATAAAATTCACTTTTTTTTAAAAAAAATCAAGATAATACGAGTATGCAAGAATTTTCAATAGTGAAAGTAAAGTCCAAGGAAGACAATGAGAAATTGATGGCTAGAAATCTGGATGACTGTGCTGACCATCCATAAATTTTTACCCACAAATTAAGTTGGTGAAAAAATTAATCACTAAACAAAATCAATTACAATGGTTTTTTTTTTAATTCTACTTAACAAAAATTGGATCGATTGTATATTTTGAAGGTAAATTTGTAGATATTTTTAATTTTAATTTCACACAATTTAACTCATCAACCTTGTATAGAAGTAACTTGGATTATTTTTTCTTTTAATGTTTTTATTAATGATTGACAAACTTTAAGTATAATGTTGCCAAAAAACAAATAGAGGGTCAAGTAAAAAATCCAATGATATTGATATGATCTTAATTTCCGCGTATACTATAAACTAGTAAAATATTTTATTTAATTTTAAATTAATTTTTTTATGAAAGAAAATTATTTAAATTTATATTTTTTAAATAAAAAAATCATGCCCTAATCAATGAAAATAAAATTTTCCTTTTTAACCTAATGCAATTGGATAAATCCGATTACTTTAGTAAAATTTTTTTATCTAATCTAATCCTTTGATAACTTGAAAAGAAAAACCAACAACTTTCAAGTATAAGTTGTGTGAAAGTTTGTGGACAACGCAAGGAACTCTAGTAGCAGTTTCATAGAAGAATGCTTGAGTTTTGTGAAACGACTCAATGACTATTGACACAGTTTTATCAACCTAGATTGGTTTCGAAGTAAATTCCAAGGCTATCTACTTTCCTACAGGGGACAAATTAAAGCCAACTTGATTGTGCAATTGTGACAGGTCCATGGGAGTCGTGGTAAAAGTAAACGGGGGAGTTTCTTTGTATGTACAGTGTTAGACAGTTAGAGTTTCGGACCAGGTCAAAGAGTTCTGGAAGGGACAAGACAGATTCCTAGAAACGGCAGAATGACTTGTAACTTTAATGTGCGTATATATTTTTAGCTTCAGCTTTTCGTTGTAAAACAAGTTCCTGTCCAAAAGAAGTACTAAAAAATTATGGTCGATCCGGCAGAAGTTGGTGTAGGAGTCGCAATTGGATCAGTGGAAACCATATCCAAAGTGATTCGGACAATCAGTAAATACGAATCCATTCTCAATGACCTCCGAACCAGACTCCAAGATATGATTCCAAGACTCGAGGCGATAAATCGGTCCAAAGATGGATCAAAGGAAACTGAGAAGTTGGCTAAGCGATTTGAAGAAAGCAAAGCAAACTGTTGATAGATGCTCCGACGTACCCTGGTGGAACTATTACAAGAAGTACAAGTTCGCCCAAGAGCTCATTGAACTGGATGCTTCCCTACGAAAGATGATGGAATACTCGTTACCGTTACTGATATTGGAGGATACTAGAAGAATTTTGGATACGGTTGTGGAACTGCGTCTAATGTTTGCATCGTTAAACAGGATTTTTGGAAGTATTCGTTCAGGTGTGAAAAATACTGCCGATTTTGTTGTTAATCAGATCCAATATGTGGTTTCCCTTGCAGCTTCCTGGACGAAGAAACTTGTCGAATCTCAGCCTGGTCAGTTCGTAATCTCTACCTAAGCTTAATTGCTTATGAAATGTAATAAGTGCGAAAGCTTGTCCCCCTCTTCTATTTCTATGTCTCACTTGTGTTTCATGGCAGATAATATAAAAGATGTAGTTCTATGGAGAAAAAAGAAGCTGAGCGGAACGCTTCTATTCATGTCAATTGCAGCATGGCTCTTGCTGCAAGTTTATCAATTGAAATTCATCACCATTGCTTCATGGGTGGCTATGGCCATTGTTGTTGCACTATTCCTTTGGGGAAACGTAGATCGACATCTTGGCCAGTGAGTTCCATTGTCCAAATCCAATTCCGTTTTCTTTATCTTCGCCTTTTAGGATTAACAAGCAGTAATTAACTGTAAGAGGGACAGTGTTTTTGGTCTCAGCGAAGAAGCACGCATGTCCAGATTCGAAATCTCGGAGGAGACTGCCATGCGCATTGCAAACTCTTGTCAAACACTAATTGAAGAAACAATTAGATGGATGGTTCATGTGACTATTGAGAGCGAATGGTTTGTATTTGCAAGAACAGTTGCAGGGCTATTGTTATTCTCCTACATGGGAAGCTTCATTGATCTGCTAACTCTTCTTTGTGCAGGTAACAAATAACACTATCAATGAGCTACTCTCACTCTCTCCCTCAATCATGTTTTTCCACCGTGTAATGCTTCCATGTGTACTTTTTACCGTTGTAACAAAGTCCACAATTGGCATGTTTTTTGTTGTTTCTTGCAGGTGCTATGATAGCCACAACAATTCCTGTAATTTATGTGAAGCACGTGGATAAGATAAAGACGTGTGGCAAGATAATGAGGGTGCAGTCGGGAAGAGTTTGTGAGCTGATTGACGACAAGCTAATTAAGACGGTGAAGAACAAGGTTGTCAAAGAAACGATCAGGAAGAAAAGAAAACAAAAGTGACTAATCAGTTGTTCTTGGCTTCAAGCCTGCAGGGATATTGTTTGTTTTGATCAAAATGACAAGTTATTATTAATTGATTGATTCCATATCCTAATAGATATGGAATGCACTAACCTATATATACTTGGAAGTTGTGGCAAATGAATATATTTTGAAAAAATTCAGGCAAATAATGTAAGCGGCCAAATTGGCTAAGCCCAAAACTACCAAAACAATAAAATGAATTTGTAATTATCGTATATTAAAATCGGTTTTACTTATAAACTGATATGAAATCAAATCGAATTTCAAGCAGCACCCAATTGCTGCTTATTCATTGCTTAGATTGCTAATTGCAAGTAGTAGATTATAATTGGCTGGTGCATTGCATGTTTGACTCCAGTACAGATGTTGCTTGTTTTTAAATAAATAAATCTTTTGCTTGGGTGATATGGGTTGTGCTCCAAATTTAAATGTGAAATACAAGTAAAGCTTACGCGCAAGTGCATACGGTCGCAACAAGTAATATAGTGATAACTAGAGTTGTCGATCCCTCGAAGAGTTGGTTTACTATTTACTACTAATTACTAAAATTATAACAAACAAAATTTTATCCAAGCAACAAAAGGAATAAGTTGTTAAAATTGAAATAAAATTTACTCTAAAAAATCTACTTTAATCTAAGGATTGCAAGTTAAATGTATAATGAGGAAACAATGTAATTAAAACCTAGGACTATGGTTTCAGCTATTGCTTTGTAAGGATACAAGATCAATCAATTACCTACTTTTTATGAGAATCAATGTTAGTCTAGGTTCCCTGAGCATGCATGGTGCTCCGTTTATGACTTATATTGACTATGTATGAGTAATAGGTATATGTCTATTCTATAAATAATCACCCACTTAATTTCTT